AGGTTCCTGCCTTGGTTTCGTCCTGGCCATGCAGCGCACACCTGGGCTGGGGAGTGCGAGGGCTGTGGGAGGAGAGTGCGGGGCAGGCTCCTCTACGGGCGCGATAGATGCGAAAATATACTTTTGTTTTTCTTTCTTTATTTATTTCTTTCCCCTCTGGTGGGAGAAAATACTACACCCACCGGAGGCTGGTCGTTGATTTTTATTTCTCGCGGCTCCGCTGCGGCGTTGTGTACCGGCTCTCTCACCCCAGGACTGCTGTTGTCTTCACAGAGACTCCCGGGAAGTCACCCAGCGCCCTGGGAGGCAGCCCACGGCCAGGCGTTTCGGGCCTCGGATTGACAACGGATCACGGGAAGAAACGGGATTATTATGACCCTCTTCCGAGGAGCTATGCTGCCCGCCACGAGTAGGAAAAAAGGCCAGAAATACCTCATTTGGTTGCTGTGTGGTGCCGCAAGCTTCTAGCTTTCTTATTTTATTTTTCATCCAGTTGCTTGGAGTTTCTGAGCTGCATTGGATAAATGCCTTTCCCATTCGATTGACTCTGCTTTTCATATATATATATATATATATATATTTTTTTTTTTTAAGAAGAACTCTCTGGTCTTCAATACTTGTTTGCATTTTACGCAACTGAACGGTTTCTCAGAGTAATGGCCGCGCTCAGTATCACTGCCTGATGCTCCGGAGAGATGAATTGCAGCTGAAAGTTTCCCTTCCACCTTTGGATGAATCTCTGGAGTTTAAATTGTAGGAAAGAAGTGGGAAAAAAACACGATGAAAGAGAAGTCCAAAAATGCTGCCCGGACTAGACGGGAGAAAGAAAACAGTGAATTTTATGAACTGGCGAAATTACTACCCCTGCCCTCCGCTATCACCTCTCAGCTGGACAAAGCATCCATAATCAGGCTCACCACCAGCTATTTAAAAATGAGGGTGGTTTTTCCAGAAGGTAGGTGGGAATGCCTATTCGCCTCAATTTCCATTCCGATCCAGGTATCGCTTGTCGCTTTTACTTAAAAAACAAACAAACAAACAAAAAGTAATTCGCGTGGGGTGGTGTGCTTGGAGGCAGGGTGCTCTCCGCTGTCACTTTGTTGTACTTTCCCTTCAGTTACTATGACAGGTTTGGTTGGGGACTTACGGTGCTTTTGTCAACACTTCAAGGTACTGAGCGCTGCTGCGTGTCCTGCTAAAGCAAACACGGGTTTTCTTTTCCCCCAGTCTCCCAGTGAGATGTGCATCTCCCGCCAAGCACGTGCGTGGCGAAAGAGGGGACGCTTCACCCCTATTTATAGTTATGCTATGGGGGGAGTTAATATATGGGTAAATATTTACATAAGTCTATGCAAAGTCCTAAAGCCTTGGTTCAAGTATCGAGCAAAGGTGCGGTTTACAGGTACAGCACCCTCGTACAGGCGTGCTCGCACACATGCACGCAGCCTAAATAAATAAGCCAAGCACACGGAATCACATCACGACTGTGATGTGTCTCGCTCTGAGGATCATTGGGACAGGCTGAGGGCGTTAATGGACTTCAGAAATTTTTAACAGGCGTTTTGTACCCAGACATAGTCAGTCCCTCTGCCTGCCCAGCCTCCGGGTCTGGGCCTGACTCTCCTCCACGGTCAGGCAACGGTGAACTTCACGTTGACTTCCACGGCAGCAGCCACAGTCCTGCCTCTCTAGAAAAAGCAGACTTAAGCGTCCTAAAGTCTGTCTTGCTTTTGACTAGAATTAGGATTTAAAGCGACCGTCTTGGGGTTTCTAGATCGGCTGCCAAGAAAAACAAACAGCACAGAAAGTTAAGAGAGTTGGAATAAAGTTCTCCTGTGTTCTCACTCTATTGCTTTTATAAGATGGAAAAAAATCGAAAATACTTCACAAATCTTTTATTTATGTCAACTCGATTCAGAGATAGTCTGGATGAAAGAAAAAGTACTAAGAGGGGTTTTTTTTCTTTTCTCCGATCTAATAACAAAATTCACTACATTTTTTTGTTGTTGTTGAAAAGTGTGTGTGTGTGTGTGTACATAAGAAACAAGGTAATATGGATATGTCCCTCTGGTTTTCTGTAGCTGTGCCTCGAGTCAGTCAGTCTGTCTACTGTGTTTTACAAATCAAGACTGGGTATAGGGCCTGGCTTTGTTTTGCTTTGGTTTGGGTAGGTTTTTTAACCTGATTAAGTCTGTGAACTACGGGTCTTAATTCTACTTTTAAAAAGTAAATATGCAGTCTGGCAGTCCTTTGGACTGGGGGATGTATAACGCAGTTATGCATGAACGCTTATACTAAAGTCCACGGCACTAATTTGCAATCCAGTGCATATTGCAGTAGTTTCTTTAAACAACGTGCCATATCTCCGAGTCAGAACAAAAGAAGGGATAAGTGAAAGCTGTAATACATGAAACCTTAAAAAAAAAAAAAAAAAAAAAAAAAAGCCACTTTCCTCTTCCGTGTTATCTGGTACCTTGAAGATCATTATGCGGGGCAGCCCTCTGTTTCAAATGAGACCGAGTTGTCCTTTATACTGTCAGCGCATACTTTATAAAAATAAAGCTCTTGCAAACTCCGGTGCCCGTGATGTTCCTAAAAGGATTATTAGCAATGATTTGTCAACTCCCGCGGTCTCAGTAGGCCACCTTTCTGCGTGATTCCGAGCAGGTCTCGTCAATTACTGGTGCCTATGTAGCGGGTTGTTTGATCAGAAGAAGCATATGGTGTTGCTTGTAGGCTGTGAGTAATCACGGGACGGGAAGAATAGCAGATCCCCGTCCCTCGGTGGCAGCGCAGGATGTTTGAATGCCCTGGGGAACCGTGCGGCGAAGTGCGCCGGGGCCGGGGCCGGGGCAGGCGGCGGCAGATGCTAATCCGAGCGCGGAGCCAGAGGGGGCGGCTGAGCGGGGCTTTGGAGGCAGCCGAACCTTCGCCGCCTCATTAAAGGCAAACTGCAAATTAAAACGCAAGGCAGTGAGCAGGCACGAAAGGGCTCGCCCCTCCAGGGCGCGCTGC